AACGAAGATAACGCAAATGCTGCTTGTGGCATGTGTGCATGTGCCCCTTTAAGCCACCTTAGTCACTGGGCCCACCTCGTCCCAGGGGGTCTGGGAAGTATCCTTTCAGTAAGTCTGTTCTGGAAGAAGAGACCCCCTGCCATTGTTCTTTCATCTGAACCCTGTAAAATAAGGCGCAGGGGCTGAGACTTGGCCACATTCACGCAGCTCAGGACAGGGCAGAGCATCTGCTCTGTGTGCTGGAAAGCCGCCCTCCATCTGCAGGCCGGGCCTCCCAGCTTCCAGCTCAGCCCCAGCCCACCCGGCTGCACGTCCTGTGCTCCTGTGCCCGTCCTCTCCCAACTCTGGCCCCTCCTCCAGGACGAGGGGACTGGGCTGGCCAATCTCAGGGCCCCTACTGGCCCTCACCTTCTGCCCCTCCTCCCCCATTCCTCCAGATCCTGCAAAGCCCGGCAGGCTCCGCACCATCCCCATCCCTGTCGCCAGGTGCTACACCTACAGCTGGAACCAGGACAGCTTCGGTAAGCAGCCCTCATGGTGCCCACCCCCTCACCAGCCCCCACTCCAGGCAGGCTCTAAGCAGAGCAGGGGGCAGTGCTTTGAGTCCTGGGCTGGCCTGTCGGCCCCCCCAGTGGTGTACAAGAGGGGCTTTAAGAGCCCAGACCCCCAGACGGTGCCTCCTCTTGCTTCCCCGCAGACATCCTGCAGGAAATCCTGCTGAAGGAACAGGAGCTGATCCAGCCAGGAATCCTGGGGGATGATGAGGAGGACGAGGAGGACGAGGAGGACGAGGAGGAGGACTTGGAAACCGACGGGCATTGTGCCGAAAGGGACTCACTGCTCTCCACCAGCTCGGCTGCCTCCCGCGACTCCACCCTGTCCCTCGTCTCGTCCCAGACCTCAGGACCCACCCTCTCCCGCCAGCTGCTGACCTCCTTTGTCTCGGGCCTCTCGGACGGCATGGACAGTGGCTATGTGGAGGACAGCGAGGAGAGCACCTTCGAGCGACCCAAGAGGCCTGGCAGCCGGGAGCGCAGGGGCCACCGCAGGCCCGGGCAGAAGTTCACCAGGATCTATAAACTGTTCAAGAGCACCAGCCAGCTGGTCCTGCGGAGGGACTCCCGGAGCCTGGAGGGCGGCTCGGACACCACCTTGCCCCTGCGGCGGGCCGGCAGCCTCTGCAGCCCCCTGGACGGCCTGGTGCCACCCCCGTCCAGGGCCCAGCGCTCCCGCTCCCTTCCCCAGCCCAAGCTCAGCCCCCAGCTGCCCAGCTGGCTCCTGGCCCCCGCCTCCCGCCACCAGCGCCGTCGCCCCTTCCTGAGTGGGGATGAGGACCCCAAGGCTTCCACGCTACGTGTCGTGGTCTTTGGCTCCGATCGGATTTCGGGGAAGGTGGCTCGGGCGTACAGCAACCTGCGGTGAGAGCCGAAACGGGGGCATCGCTGTGCCCCGGGCAGCAGGGTGGTGATGCCAGCGAAATCTGGGACCAAGGGGCTCCCTTCTCACCGTCTTCTCCTTAGCAGGCGGCTGGAGAACAATCGTCCGCTCCTCACCCGGTTCTTCAAGCTTCAGTTCTTCTACGTGCCCGTGAAGCGGACCCACGGGCCCGGCACCAGCACCAGCCCAGCCTCCCCCAGCCCTTCCCCGCTCCCCACAGACTCCCCGAGGCACCCCGGCCCTACAGTACGTCCCCAGCCCTGGGCCCAGCGGGGTAGGAGAGTCGAGGAGCGGGTCTCAGTTACCTGAAAGGGGCTGGTTGGAAGTCACCGAAAGCAACCACCCGTGTTTAGGCGGTGCCTCCTCCTGCCTGGGCCTCGCTCCTGGGAGTGGTCCCTGCGCTGCACTTGGGAGGGGGCCGTTTTGCTCTGTGCCGTGGACTGAGAGTAGCCAGACTTCTCCAAGGGCAGGGAGAAGCTCAAGGCGGGGCTGCAGGCACCACCCAGGGCCCTGGGGGCGGGCTGGCTGGCGCCCCGGGTGGCTGGAACTGACCCTCGCCCCTCGCCCAGGAGCCGGGCGCGCCCCCCTGGGAGGAGAGCACCAACGACATCTCCCACTACCTCGGCATGCTCGACCCCTGGTATGAGCGCAACGTGCTGGGCCTCATGCACCTGCCCCCCGAGGTCCTGTGCCAGGTGAGTGGCCCCGTCCCCATGTGCAGGGAGGGGGCCCCATGGCTGCAGGCGCCCCAGCCTTGCCTTGAAGGCCTGAGTTTGGGGGATCCAGCTTGAGGCCCTGGTGGAGGACCCAGGCTTACTTGGGAATGAGCAGGGAGGGTGTGTGGAAGCAGGACTGAGCTGAGCCCAGGGCTCCGGGGGTGAGGGCTGGGTCACCGCACTGACAGGGAGGGGCCCCAGAGGGGCCCAGGCATCTCAGGCTTCAGCCCTCTTCCTCAGCTCCCAGCTTTGTCCCCGTGCCAGTGAGGGTGGGCACGGAGGCTGGGCTGTGGGTCCTCCCCCGGGCGTTCTGTTCCCTGCTCCCATCTCCCCAGCCCCCGACCTCTCTCCTCTCGGTGTGTGTGTGCCTGTCTTTCTTCTCTCATGTTCTCTTCCTCTCTCATTCCCTGTCCACCCGTCCCTCTGCCTCGGGCTCCATCCCCACCCCCAGCAGTCTCTAAAGGCTGAGCCCCGGCCCCTGGAGGGCTCCCCGGCCCAGCTGCCCATCCTGGCGGACATGCTGCTCTACTACTGCCGCTTTGCGGCCCGGCCGGTGCTGCTGCAGGTCTATCAGACGGAGGTGAGGCCCGCCCTGCCACCGCCCGCTCCCCGCATGGCCTGCCCACCGCCCACGGAGCCAGCCGCCCTGCACTGGGGGCGCAGGGTGGGGGCCCTCGGGGGGCCTGCACTGATGCCCGCACTCCTGCCCTCTCCAGCTGACCTTCATCACCGGGGAGAAGACAACGGAGATCTTCATCCATTCCCTGGAGCTGGGTCACTCAGCGGCCACGCGCGCCATCAAGGCCTCAGGTGGGTGCTGCCTGAGCCAGTGGCAGAGGGGCTGGGGGTGTCACACTGGAGCTGGTGGGGCTAGAGGGTGCCAGGAGGAGTGACTCTGGAGGCGGAGCTAGAGGGTGGTGGGCCAGGAGCTGGGGCCCTGGGGAGGGGAGTCCTGGGGACAGGGAGGCAGAGCCCAGGGTCTGTGAGGGGCCCAGGAAGGGAGAAGGAGCAAAGGGTCTGTCTGTGTGCGGCACAGGTCCCGGTAGCAAGCGGCTGGGCATCGATGGTGACCGGGAGGCCATCCCTCTAACACTACAGATTATTTACAGCAAGGTAAGACGGGGGCTGGGGCTGCTCCCCCCGGGGTCTGCTCCCTGTGCCTCCTCCCAGAGCCAACGTCGTGTGTTCCTGGACCTGTTCTAAGCTGGAGGGCCACAGCAGACTCCCCAGGCTCTCCTGGGTGCTGAGAGAAAGCGGGGAAAGCAGTGGACCTTTGTCCCCGCCTCTGCCCCCCAAGCTGCCCTCTTGCTGTGTTCTCCCTCCACTGGAACGTGCTCAGCCCTTCCAGTTAGTGCTCGGACCTGGCCACAGGGCTGGGGGTGAGAGTAGGGCAGAGGGAGGGACAGGCCAGGGGCTGCAGGGCTGCTGTGTCCGGCTGGGTGGGTGGGGTGCCCACAAGTATACCCAGGGTCCAAACCATGTCAGGCTTACCCCCCAGATTGGGAGCCCTCCTGCCTTCTTTCCTTCCTTCTCTCCCTTCCTTCAGCAATTTGAAAGATTGTTTAGCACCTACCCCTGCCAGGTTCTGTGCTGGGCAAGGGGGACTGGCAGTAAGCAGTGGGAGCCAGGCCCAGGAGACAGACAATAAACTAGGAAACCAAAAATGCCCAAGGTCATATCAAAGGGTGGCGAGGGCTGAGGAGGCAATAAAAGGGCTGATGGGATAGTGATGGGGGGCTACTTTCTGTGTGGTGGCCAAGGAGGTGGGTGGGGGCTGACACTCACTGGGTGCCATGTGCCAGGCATTCATTAAACACCTGCGTTGTCCTGGACGTTGTTCGCAGCATAGGAGTATTCACAGGAGTGAGCAAAGTGCTTACCGTCCAGAGGGGTTAGATGACTCCACAGCGTCTGTGATTACCACTGTGACAGACAGATGAAGGAGAGGCCAGTGGTTCTGTGAGAATCCTTAAGGAGATTATCCAGCCCACTTAGGAAATTTAGACAAGGCTTCCTTGAGGGCCGTTGAGTCTATGTTAGAAAGAAAACCAGGAGTTGGTTAGGTAAGAAAAGAAGAGAGAGACTCGCTCTCCAGGCAGAGGAAACAAGCATGTGCAAAGGCCCTGCGGTGAGAGAGAACATGATGGTCAAAGGACACTGAAGGAGGGCCAAAGGGGCTGGAGCAGAGAGTGAGTTCGGACAAGATGATCAAGTGAGGATGAAGAAATTAGGAAGGCCAGAATGCCAACAGCAAGTTTCAGTGAGAGTTTTATCCTTGTCCTAAGAGCAATGTATACCTTATAAAGGGGCTCCAGTTTGGGGTGGGGCTGGGGATGGGTACCACATGATCAGAGCTGATGTTTGGAAGCTCCCTGTGGCAGCTGAGTGGAGAATATCGGAGGGGTCCCCAGGTGGGTGTGGGGGAAGCCCATCCAGAGGTTCCTGTGGTGGTCTGGGAATACAGCCTGCTCGGGGCGCTGGCGCTGTGGGAGGCAGAAGGAGCGGGAGCCAGATGGGAACTGCAGGAGCAGCAGAGCTTAGGAGTGGGTTAGAAAGGCAAGGCCCCCAACTCCTGGATTTCAGTCTTCTACGACCGGCAGTACCATTTTCTGCTTTCGAAGCACAGGTCTGGTGTGGGAAAATCATGAATGTAGGACGTGGTGGGTTTGAGGTGCCCTTGAAAGAGAAGGAGAAATCAGAAAAGTTGGAGGACGAGCCTGACCTCGGAGGTGAACTGTGAAGATGGGTGTGTAGGCAGTCATGGGAAAAGGGCCCCGGCTGAGGTTCCGTAATAGGGAAAGCAGGAATGAAAGAGTGGAGGACCCGGGGCAGGTCCTGAGACCTGCGTCATGTGATGGGGGTGCAGAGGAGGGTGACTGCACAAAGCAGAGGACAGAGGTTGGTGGCGGGCTAACCAGGAGCGAGCCGCCACGGAAGCCCGGGAGAGGAGAGGAGTGAACAGAATGAAATTCTCCCGTGAGATCAAGAGAGCTGGGGCCTGAGAGATGCTCGTGGGTTTGGCAGCATGGGGTCCCTATGAAAGAGACGTTCAGACAGGGACCCAAAGAGGGAGTTCTGGTCTGGCTTTGCCTGGGACCCTGTGCCTGTGGGCCTGTCTGTTCCTCACTCCGGGCTCAGAATATCCTCCAACCACACCCCCACCAAGATGCTCTCAGCTCTCGCACCCCATGACCCGGTCACAAGGCTGACCGTGCACTAAGCCAGTGACCTGGCACTCTCCCCTGGAGTCAGCAAGGTCTACATGGGGGTCCAGGGGCTCTCGGTGGAGAGGATGGCAGACTACGTGAACAAGAGAGGGCTTCCTGGGACTGCAGGCAGCTCCCCGTCACTGGCGGGTCTGGAGCCTCCTCTTTGGAGAGAAGGCAGCAGGCCCCCGATGCCTGCGGCTGAGAGGGTCTGGCTTTCCTGCCTTTCCAGGGGGCCATCAGTGGACGGAGTCGCTGGAGTAACATGGAGAAGGTCTGTACCTCTGTGAACCTCAGCAAGGCCTGCCGGAAGCAGGAGGACCTAGGTGAGGGGGGCGGCTGGACGCAGGGTTGAGGGGAGTTGGGGGACAGGGGCAGGGGGTGGGGGCAGGGAGTGGTTCTGAGCCTGGCCTGCGTGGCCCCTGCCCTCCAGACTCCAGCGTGGAGGCCCTAACGCTAAACCTGACAGAAGTGGTGAAAAGGCAGAACCCCAAATCCAAGAAGGGCTTCAACCAGGTAAGGGCTTCTGTCTCCTTCCCGCCACCTGCTTGGGAGACTTACCGGGTGTGTGCCTGCGTGTGTGTGTGCATGTGTGTGTGTGTAACAGGGCGTGTCCAAGGGCTACGTGGGACACGTGGGTGGGAGGCGAGGCCAGTGAGGGACGTGGTTGGGGTGAGCACACACGCGGAGTGCCGTGGGGGTCAGGAGGAGGGGCTGCCCTGGTACCTGCAGAAAGGTTCCATGGTGGGTGCCAGGTGCCCCCCTCCCCCGAGTCTGAGGCAAAGCAGGCTCGGTGTCGGGGACCCCGGGGCTGTCACAGTGAGGGCAGTGGGCCATGCAGGTTCTCCTCCCAGGACACTTGCTCCTTCTAGATTCAAGAAAGGACAGAGGCTGGAGAGGAGGGCGGCCCTGGAGAGCTGCCAGCCAAACTCCCAACCCACCCCTGGGGCCCAGTTGGGCGAGTCCCAGGGAGGAAGCTGTTGGGGGCTAGCAGCTCTGGGCCCGGGCTCCGGGGCTGACCTGGGCTTTCTGTCCAGATCAGTACATCGCAGATCAAGGTGGACAAGGTGCAGATTATCGGCTCGAACAGCTGCCCTTTTGCTGTGTGTCTGGACCAGGATGAGAGGAAAATCCTGCAGAGTGTGGTCAGGTAGGAAGGTGGTCCCAGGAGAGGGGTCTGTTTCTGCCCTCCCCACACTCGGGGTCCTGGAAGGGGCTGGCGGGCCGGGAGGCCTGCCCTGACACCTGCCCTGCCCCGCAGGTGCGAGGTCTCCCCCTGCTACAAGCCGGAGAAGAGCGGCCCCCGCCCCCCGCCCCAGAGGCCCTCTTACCCGCCGCTGGCCCAGACAGCGCCCGACCTCTGCTCCCTCCTCTGCCTGCCCATCATGACTTTCAGTGGAGCTCTGCCCTAGCGCAGCTGGCACCAGCCTGGACAGGAAGCCTGGGGGCAGCCTCCCCCGAGCCCCCTTCCCCAGGGACAGTGCGGGCCTCACTCCCTGTGGAGAACTGAGCAGCCCTGTGCTGGGCCAGGGTCCTGCTGTGGGCCCTGCAGAGGGCAGGGGGCAGAGGGTCGACGGGGCCTCAGGGCTCTGTTTGGGGAAGAAACTGGGCATTAGGGAGAAGGGACTGGCCACACAGCCCCTCAGGTTCTGCACAGCAGAAAGGAGAGGGCTGGGTGAGCTGACCTCCAAAGACCCTGGCCTCTAGTGTGGTCTAGGCTCCTTTCTAGAAGAAAGATCTGAGGCTCTGGTGCTCTGGGGTGTGATCCAGGCCTCCTCTCCCAACCCTTGGCCAGGCCTGCCCCTTACTTCATCAGACTTGGAGAAACCTTTGTGTCTGGAGTTCAGTCCCCCCTACTCAGGGGTTCAGGTGGCAGAAATGTGGATGTGACTTTTCTGACAGTGCTGTCCCCCCGCCCCAGTCCCTCTCTGTCACACACACACACACACACACACACACACACACACACACACACACACACTTTCTCTCTCTCAAGTTCCCTGGGTCTTCTGACAAACAGCACTAACACTTGACCTGTCTGCAGTCAGGACTTGGAACAGATTCTCTCTGAAGCCTCTTTCTGGATCGAGATCCTTGGGAGACAGGACAAGCTTAGATTCAGTGGCAGCTCAGTTACCTTCCAGCTAAGTGACCAGAAGAAAGTGAATTAGCTTCTGTGAGCCTCCCTCTCCTGAGCACTAAGATGGAGGTATGTAAGGCCTCCTTAAAGGGTTGAGACGAAATGGTCTGCCAAGCAGGTGCTCAGTAAAGCTTAGTGGCCTCGCCCTCTAAGCGCTGTCTAGAGGGTGGGGATGCTCTCACCGTTCTGGGTTGCTCTTTATTCCCTCCTTGGCCCCTGTGCCTTCCATTGCCATCTCACTCCTTGGGCTGCCCATCCCATGCGAAATCTTCCAGCTCGAAGGTTCACTGGCACCATCGCGCCTGGGCGAGTTCCCAGAGTGGAGGATGGAGTGCTGACCTTGAGGAGCTTAGTGCCCGACTGGAGGAAAATGGGTGATAGAACATCAGAGCCAAAAATGTTAAACTGCCAAGTTGCAGTGGTTTGAGAAGCTGGAAGCAAAAATGTGGGCTAGGGTGGTTGGGCGGAGGGCAGGGCTTGGGGCCGGGATTTGGACTGATAGACATGGAGAAAGTAACTGCGGAAGCAGACAGCTGTATCCTGCACAGAGCCCCTCCTTCCCCTCCTGCCCCTGCTCCTGCTCCTGCTTCATCTGCTCCAAAGGTTCTGGGCTCATAGGAGCCCAGAAACCCCACCCCAGTGTACTCATCACTCGAGAGAAGTGGACAGTCCGGCTCCGACCCTGTCCCGGCTACCTGTACTTGCTCCTGGCCCCAGAGAATAGTTGGCAATATCCCTTCGATATTTTTTGTTTCATGTGAGCAGGTTGTCCTACTACATGACCAACAGATGTTGAGAATAAAAAAAATGGAACTTAATGTTATTGTCAAATGAAACTTGATTCGTCTTGAAGTTTTTAATCTACAGTTATTTTGCTGCATGACAATGAGCTACTGGCTGGATAGTTCACATATGGACTAAAACTACAGTCATTTGTTCTTGCTTGTACATCTACAGGACATCACTTGGTCTAGGTGGGGGTCAGTGGCTTGGCTCCAGGCTGCAGGTTGGATTCAGGTCTTGTCTGTGGGTCCTTCAGGCACCTTGGGCCAGCATGTTAGCACAAGATGGATAAGCAGAGACCTCTTAGGGCCAGGGCCTGGAACTGGCACTGGATCTCTTCTGCCAATATTCAGTTGGCCAAAATTGATGGACATCAACCCGTAGAATCAGTTAACTCAGGAAATCCCACACAGGATGGAAACAAAATTGCATGAGAAGAGCATATCACCTCTGATATTCTTCCCAGAACCCCATAACCCAGGACTAATCATGAGGAAAATACTGGACAAACCCAGATTATGGGACATAGTACAGGGTAATCTGACCAGTACTCCTCTAGGCAGCCAGTTTTGTGAAAAACAAGGAAGGACTGAAAAATCCACAGACCAAAGGAGATCAGGAAACTTGAAAATTAAGTATAGCGTGGGATCCTGAAACAGAAAGAGAGTCTTTATAGAAAAACTGGTGAAATCCCAATAAAGTCTGGAGTTTAGTTTAAACACACACACACGCGCGCGTGCACACACACACACACACACACACACATATGCCTTATTGTCAAAGATCTGGGGGTAAAGGTAACAAGAAAATCTTAAAGACAGCCAGAGGAAAAATGTACATTTTATTTTCAAAGGATCAACAACTAGACTGAAAGCTTCCTTCTTAACAAAAACAATGGAAATCAGAAGACTGAAATGACATCTTCAAAGGGCTAGGGGGAAACACACTGTCAACCTAGGATTCTATACCTGGAATTGTCCAGTGATTTTTAAAAGATTATACACTGCTCACAAGAGACACTTTAAATATAAGAACACAGAAAGGCTGAAGGCAAAAGAATGGAAAGGATAACATCATACAAACCTGTCTCAAAAAGCTGATGGTGTTACACTAATATCAGACAAAGATTTTAATGCAAGAAGCATTACAGAAGATAAAGGGACATTTTATAAAAATCAAAGGGTCAATCCAACAAAAAGATAGCAGCATAAATCTGTATGCACCCAATAACATAAATTTATAAAGCAAAAATTGACAATTAACATCTCCACAACCTAGTCTGATGAAGGACTTTAACACACGTCTCTCAGTAGCTAATAGAACAAATAGATTTAAAAAATCTGTAGAGTGAACCTAAAACTGCTCTAAAAAATAAAGTCTATTAATAAAAAAAAATCAGTAGAAAACAAAAGGGTCCTACTGTATAGCATAGAGAGCTATATTCAATACCTTGTAATAACTTATAATGAAAAAGAATATGAGAAGGAATATATATGTATGGACACATGAATCTCTATGCTGTACACCAGAAATTAACACAATATTGTAAATCGACTATACTTCAACAAAAAAATTCAGTAGAGATGTAGAGGATCTGGACACTTCAATTAACAAATGATGGAAGTCAAACAGTATATTCCCTGACTACAATGAAATTAAACTATCAATAAGGAAGATATTACTAGAAAATTCTAACTGCTTGGAAATTAGGTATGTATCTTTAAATAATCCAGGGCTCAAAAAAGAAAGAAAAGTGGAAACTTGAAAATATATTGAACTGATTAATAATGAATATATGTTATTGAAACTAATGGGATGCTAAAGCGATGCTTAGGAGGAAATGTATTGCCATAAAAAAAAGCATATCTTAAAGAAAAAGCTAAAAACCAGTTATTTACATTAAAAGCTCGGGAAGGAATAGTTGATCAATCCTAAAGACAGTAAAAGGAAGGAAATAAGTGTAATAGCAGAAATCTATAAATTAGAAAACCAACATACTAGTTGATAAACCCCTAGCAAGACTGATGACAGAACAAATCATCAATATCATGAACGAAAAAGAGGACATTTCTACAGATCCTGCACACCAAAAAGCTAAGAAATGGATATTACAGATTCACCAATACACTTTGGCAATTTGGATAAAATGGAGATTTCTCAAAAATACAGTTTGCCAATCTGACAGAAGAGATGGATATCCCAAACAGGCTAACATATATTAAAGAAACTGAAACCATTATTTTCTTAACTAGACTGGCAACCATTTTTTACTGTCTCCATAGTTAACACATTTTCCAGAAAATCATATAGTTGGAACCATACAGTATGTAGCTTTTCTAGTTGGCTTCTTCCACTTAGCAATATGCATTGAAGATTCTTCTGTGTCATGACTTCATAGCTCATTTCTTTTTGTTGCTGAATGATACTTCATTTTATTGATGTACCACAGTTTGTTTGTTTATTCACCTACTGAAGGATGTCTTGTTTGATGCCAATTTTTGGCAGTTATGAATAAAGCTGCCCTAAACATTCATGTGCTGGGTTTTGTTTGGACATCCATATGTTTTCAAGTCATTTGGGCAAATACCCAGGACCACAACTGCTCGATCGTATGGTACAGGTATATTTAGCTTTTTCTGTTTTGTTTTGTTTTTTAATGCACAGCTGTCTTCCAAAGTGGCTGTGCCCTTTTTCATTCTCACCAGCAATGAATGAGAGTTCCTGTAGCTCCATATCCTTATTAGCATTTGATGGTGTCAGTGTTTTTGGACTTTTATCCATTCTAAAGGGTGTGTAGTGGTATCTCATTATTGTTTTAATTTGCAGTTCCCTAAAGACTATGATGTTGAGCATCTTTTCCTGTGTTTATTTGCCATATGTATATTTTCTTTGGTAAGGTGTCAGTTCAGATCTTTTGCCCACGTTCTAATTGGGTTGTTTGTTTTCTTATTGTTGAATTTTAAGAGTTTTTGGTACATTTTGGATACCAGTCCTTTATCAGATACGTGTTTTGCAAATATTTTCTCCCATGTGTGGCTTGTGTTTTCGTAATCTTAACTATGACTTTTGCAGAGTAGATGGTCTTAATTTTAATGAAGTCCAATTTATCAGCTGGTTTTCCTCTGACAGCTTGGTGCTTGGTCTGTTACCATCCTCAGACCTCTTCATGTGGTCCCTGCCATCCAGGTCATGCCTCCGCCAGAGAGACGGCTCTCCCACAACCCCTGGGGCAGGGAACACTAGAGCGCCCCTCTCCTCGCCCAGTCTGCTCGAAGAAGAGGCGTCGGAGAGGTTCCCAGCCCCTATAGCTTCACCCACATGGGAGAAGTGTGTGGACCCAGTGTGCTTGGTGCCTGCCCAGGGCTTCAGACTTCCCTTCCTCCACTGTCACGCCCACCACTCCCTCCAGCACTGGGATGCTAGCTGCTGCCCTGGGAGGAGAGCTTCTCAGTTTTCTTGGGGAAAAGCTACTCCCTCCATTACCCAAATCTCAAAATCCCTCCATTTACTTCTCCAACCCTTCCAGTACAATCAGAGTACAGGAAGCCGGCTCTCATGGGAAAGGGTGTCCACCCCATCCCTCTGGGGCAAAGACAATCAGGTGGCAGGCTGTCCCCACTTGGTCACTTTATTTCTCTCTGTCCCATGCAGCAGGTGGATCTGTGTCCTGGATCCGACCACAGCCCCCAGGATCTCGGTCTGCTTGGGCTGCTATAACAAAATGCCATCGAGTGGGTGGTTTAAACAAGACATTTATTTCTCGTAATTCTGGAGGCTGGCAAGTCCGGGGTCAAGGGGCTGACAGAGTCAGTGTCTGGTGAGAGCGCTCTTCCTGGGTTGCAGATGGCCATCTTCCCACTGTGTCTTCACAAGGTGGAGAGAGGAAGCTCTGGTCTCTCTTCCTCTTCTTATAAGGACACTAATCCCATTATGGGGGCTCCACCCTCAAGGCTTCATCTAAACCTGATCACCTCCCAAAGGTCCCACTTCCTAATACCGTCACACTGGGAGTTCAACATATGAAGTTGGGGAGGACACAGACATGCAGTCCATAAAACCTGGCAATTCTGAGTGTGGGGTCCCTGGGGAAGCAACTGTGGTCCCAGCAGCCACATGTGTGTGCCCCTCTTTGCACAGGCTGAGTGGGAAGAAACAGGGCTCACTTAGGAAATCTCAGAAATTGAGAGCTGGAAGGCTGAGCCCCGGTGTCACTGCAGCCGAACAGTGAATAAGGTGACACTGAATAAGGCAGCCGCAAAACTGAGATATTAGCAAACACTTACGGTGCACGGGCCCAGCACTGCTCATGCACTTTGCACACTCAAGTCATCTCACTGATGCCTCCAAACAGCCCCATTGTTACCGACCAGGGTTCTTGGATTCTTTAATCAATAGAAATTGATAAGAGGCCAGGCGAGGAATTCAGGCAAGGCTTTACTGGGACTCGTGTGGGGGCCAGCTGGTCCCTTAAATGGGGTGAGGATAGGGGTGGATTGGTGGGTGGGGCCAGAGGGGTGGCTCTGGTGGTCGGCCCACCCCCTTGGTGGTGCTGTGTGCAGGGATCATGCCCAGTACCCTGCTTTTGCTCCTCGCACCTCAGAAGTGGCAGTTGGGTTTTGGCCTTTTTGTATTTCGTTCGTAATTTGCCCCAGCTGTGCATATGTCCAATTATTTTTAGTCCCTTATAGTTTCTTTGTATTCTGTTGCTCAAGGAGGCGTTTGTCCTGGTACAAGCACTGCAGTAAAGGGCCCCAGATTGCAGGTCCCAGCCTGTCTCACCATCAGGTAGGTACTGTTGTGTCTCACTTTACAGATGGGGAAACTGAGACAGAGAGGCTAAGGAACTTGCCCAAGGTCACAGAGACAGAGACAATGGGAAGCTGGGACTCCAACCACTAAGCTGTGCTGCTCCTCGTCCCCCTCATGTGAGCTGTGGGGGAACTGAGGCCCAGAAGCGTAGAGATCACACAGATCTGAGAGGGATGGCTTCGTTATAATGGAATTCTGGAGGAGCTCTGCCCTCCTCACACTCCCTGGGAACGGCAGGGGAGGTGGGGTGGAGACGTGGAAGCGCGTGGAGGGGGAGTGGAGAGGGTTGGCAGGGGAGTCAGGAAGGAAGCCCTCAGTGAATGAATGCCGCTCAGGCCCAAGAGCTGGCCCCAGGGGTTCCCTGAGACCTCAGGAGAGAGGGAAGTGGGGGGGGTAGCAGCCCCACCCCGCCCCACCCCCTCCCTGCTCCCCACCCCTAACCCCCAAGGAAAGGGGCCTCTCATCACGGGGACCAGGGCCCTTCTCTGAGCAAAACTGTAGCTGCAGGTCTCTGAGGCCGAAACCAGGACTGTCTGGGGGAAAGCTGGAGAGAGCCAGTGAGGGCTTGGCAGACACACTGTCCAATCCCTTGGGTTACCGACGAGGAAAAGGAGGGGGACCCTGACTTTCTTCTGATGCTGACGCGTCTTGTGGTCTTGCTGGGGAAAAGAGCTGCTCCCGGGAGACTGGTTGCAGATGGGGACTTGGCAACGACACAGCCTGGAGAACCCGGATTAAACAACCCTAAGAAGAGCATCTGGAGGGAAGAGGTGTCGCTGGGATCAGAGGGGCAGGGCCGCCGCCTTGGTGATGATGAGGGTGGTGTTCTGTGGGCAGATGTGGGGGCCTTGGTCCTTCCTCTCCCTGCCTCCCCTCCACTCTCTTTTCCTGGCTGGCTACCAGCTCCTCAGCTCCTCCTCGCGGGGACAGCTCTGGGGCTGTCCACGGCCACCAAGCAGCCCCTTCCATGGCTGCCACACCCAAAGTGGTTGCAGAGAGAGCAGCTGATGATAAGAGGGCCAGTGTGGCCAGAAGAGGCTGATATCAACTCGTGATTTCCGATTCAGTTAGGCCAAAGCTGATAAGGAGGGGGAGCGCCCTCGATGGCCACACTGCGGGCTGAGTCCTGAACCTGCAGGCACTGAGGTCTTGGTCCTTTATCCTGTCCTGGACTTACTCATTTCATTCATTCATTCCCTCATTCATTCATTCATCCAGCCAGCCATTTGTTTTATTGAATGAGCCAAACCTTCTCTTAACATTCTCTTGTCCTGTGATGGCTAGAATAATGAATCAGACCTAGCCTCTGCTTTCCCAGAACTGGCTAGGGAAGAGCAGAGGGATGAAGCAGGCATGTGACCAAAGAACTCAGCTACAAAGAGGCAGGAGAAAATGCGAGTCCAGTCACAGGAGTGGGACAGAAAAGAAGCAGATATGGGAGAAAAACTGCACCGCAGAGCAAATGATTTAAATTTCTGGACTTTTTTCTTTCTTCAAATGGCCTCTTCTGCAAAGTGAAGGATGCAACAGACCCATTTAGCCCTTTCAGAGAAAGGTCACTGACTTCTCCTTTCGTTGCAAAGGAGAAGCCCAAGTGTCGGAAACCCAATGCAAACAGTCTTAATCAAAAAGGAAAGAGAGGGCGTTTACTGGATCACATGGTTCAACAGTGAAGAGTAGATCTAGCATCAGGGCTTCAGGCGCAGCTGAATCCAGGCTTTTGTGCTGTCAGCAGTCCCCCTCTCTCCAGGGTCGTTTACCCATTAGGCCAAATCGGATGACGGCATGGAGTCTGTGAGTTCTTCAAAGGTCTAGAAATGTGTTAGCGGTTCCCCCAAATATTGCTCGGCTTCAAAATGTGAGAAAAAGGAAGAATGTGACAAACTAGCAACTGCGGCACCTTGGAGGTGATCTGCTCCCCCGCAGCACCCTCTCCTAGTCCTCCAAGTCAGCAGATGCTGTTTTGTGTTCTCCGTCTGTGTTCTCTCTGCCGTCTTGGACACCGTTGCCCATCATGTCCTTGACGCTGCCCCCAACACACACCACCCCCCCACTTCCACGGTGCTCCACTTTTCCTCTGGCCTCCTTGACCTGTTTTTCCCTCTTCGGGACTGACTAGGGTGAGCAGGGAGGAAGGTTGGGAAGCGATCCCACCACACATGTGAAGGCCTGGAGCTGAGCGACAGCCTGGATCATTAAGGAAGTGCAGTCTTCAAGACTTCTGGGAGGCATCCAAGTGAGGGAATAAAGCCTGAGGTTGGGGATTAAGGAAGAACCAGATCGAGAAGGGCCTTGCAAGTCATGCTAAGGAGATTGGCCCTTGTCTTGAAGGTAATAGGAAGCTACTGAAGGTTATAAGAAGAGTGTAATGTGATCAGATTGTGTTTCACTATCAGAAAGAGACCTTTGGCTGTGCAGCAGAGGCAGGGAGACGTTGGGCAGTTGCAGTAATTTAGAAGAAAGACAGCGGTGGCTCCTGACAGCCCTGGGGATAGAAAAAAAGAGGGACGATCCATGAAACAGTAACAGGACTTGTTGCCGTTTAGGTGTAACAGGTGAGGGAGAGGGAGGTGTAAAGGGTGACACCTGGGTTTCTGATTCTGAAATGAGGAGCAGAGAAGTGGGTTTGAGGGTATGAGGAGCTGGGTTTGTACATGTTGCATTGGGGGAGCCTGTGGGCCATCCCAGTGTCAGTGTCGGGGTCAAGGGTGGTTGGGAAGGAGGTCAGGGCTTCCTGCAGCGTCAACACCAGAGGGAGTCGCAGTGGAGGTGCCACCTCCCACTCAATCAGAATAAAGAACCTCCAGTGACCGTGGCTGACCACAGATGCTTCTCTAGAAATCAACCTCACAGCAGGATGTGTTCTGGGAGGAGCTTTGAGGGTCATGGGGAAGGGGAAGGAAGGGGAGGGGACAGAGCCAGGCCTGTGCAACACTGGGCTTTTCTCTGCAGAGCTGCAGGCTGCATACACCCGTCAGGGCTCCTCCAAGACACCGGATTATCTGGGGCTGGCACCTCCCTGGGCAGGAGTGCAGGGAGCCGACTGCTAGAAGGACGTGGGGAGCTGAGCTGCAGCTGAGCCAAGGTAGGTACCTGCTGGGGTGGGGTCTGCAGGGAGGGAGCTGGGAGAGGCAGCTTCTAGGAGGAAGGATGCTGGAAGGCGAGCCCGCGAGGGGCTGAGACACCCCTGGCTCTTATGAACACACACCCATCCATGAACACACACCCATCCTTTCTGAGAAGGGTCCCCCAGATGTGGTGGCTACTAGGACCACTCTGCAAATTTAGATTATTCAACCCATTTTCACAAGAAGAAAGGACACAGGACCCTGTGCAAAGACCTCTCCTTTCTTCTCGGGATCCTGTAAATGCCAATAATAACAGGACGAACTATTCATACCTGTTGCTACAGAATACATTCATTATCCCATGGAATCTTCACAGGCAATCGGAGGAAGGCGGCATGTGTGTTTTAATGCCCATTTTATATATCAGGAGACTGAGGCTTAGAGAGATGAAGTAACTCGCCAAAGATGGCAGAGTGGCTAAGCAAGGCATTGGGCTCAGAGTGAATCTTCTGGGTCCCCGTCTGTGCCCCTCCTGGGACATCATCTGTCCATCCCCCTCCAGGGGAAATTTGGTGACAGTCTTGCCGACTGTCTCCACACACATGAATCGAGCATCTTCTCCGTGTGCAGGCGGCGCCAGAGTCTGACCAAAGCCGTGTCTCCATCCTCAAGAAGCTGCCTGGCTGGTGAGGGGCTGAGACACGGCTACACGTGACTAACACAGAAAGTAACAGGTGCCAGGGCCCCAGGCTTGGCGAGGCGTGTGTGCGAGCAGGGAGAGCACCCCAGGTGCGGGATCAGGGTGGGCTCTGCGGAAAGCGGCGCCCGGGCCTTGAGAGAGAGGGAGGGCTTGTGTGCAGAGGGGGCAACAGGCATCCCAGTGTCGGGGACCAAGTCTGCAAATCCTGACAAGGAAAGTGGGTGTGGACGTCGGGAAAGAGCCGCTGGAGATTCAGTTTGCGGCTAATGCGTGGGGTTTACGGAGGACTCACTGGCGTGAGCTTGTCCCGTTTCTTCAGTTCTAAGTGTCTTCTGAATATCATCTCACTGAGTCCTCACTGTCATCCTCCGAGGTAGGTGCCGTTATTAGGTCTTCTTGAAAGATAGGGAAACTGAGGCACAAAGGATTTAAGTGACATGCTGCCATAGCAACTACCTGGAACCCAGGCGATCCAGCACCAAATGCTACCTGCCCAGCCACTCTGCCCCATGGCCTCCCACCGGGCCTGCCAGTCTCCTCTGTCACCTCCTGGTGACCTGGTGGCCACCTGGTCCCTGGGCTTCCTGGTCTGTATCTAGGCCCTGTCAGAGTCCTCCCAGGCCCCCTACCCCGGGGAACAATGCTCTCCTCCCCCCTAGACTGGCTGTCTCCCATCCAGGTGTTTCCTGCCTGGCCAGCAGCAGACACAGCAGAGGAAGCGGGCCTGCCTGGTCGGTCCTCAGGGGACAGCCGGGAGCAGGGCCCTCACCTCCCCAGGCCCTTGGGAATCTGGAAAGCCCAGTAGGCCTCGGGGGACAAGGGTTGAGGGGGACCCCTGGGGACCCCGAGCTCTGTGTTTCCACCCCCTCGTCCCCTCCCTGTGAGCCCACAAATCACGTGCTCTCAGCTGAAGAGAGCAAGTGGTCTGGCAAGTCTGTTTCCACGGAGAGAAAAAATCAGAGTCCTGGAAATGGCATGTGTCCCCGACACCGTGGGCGGAGGCAGCACTGGTGAGAGGAGAAGAGCGTGGGTCGCGGTGGCAGGGGCCCTTCTCTCTGCGCCGGGCAGCGGGCAGAGGACGGGGGCGGGGCGCGGAGGTGCCAGCCTGAGAAACTGCATGTCTTTCTTCCCGGGCTTTAATCCAAGGGGTGGCCGTGGGGGCTCTGGGTGGTGGCTTCCTCTGTCTGAACAGTCCGGCCTAGGAGCCAGCGGTGGGGGCAGGGGTTCATCCAAAGCTGGGATCTTCATGGAGAAACACTGACCCAGAGCCAGGCCTCCCCAGGCCCTCTAAACCCAGCTTTCTGCAGCCATTCCTCCAGCCGGGAAGCCTTCCCCGCGCTCAGACAGCACGGGCAGCAGCGTCTGTGAGCGGGGTCCTGTCTGCTGCTTCCTGCCCGGGCCGGAGAGCCACCTCTGCAGTTCTCGCCTGTCCTCAGGCCTGTCTTACCCCAAGGCAGCGACCAGCCGGGTGTTTGCACCCGCCCCGGGGACTGTTTGGTGCTAACGCTCAGTGTTGTGTTAATGAAGGAATGTCCTGAGTCCCAGTTCATTCGTTCATCCACTTATTCTTTGTCTCTGGTCCTGTCTCTCTGTCAAGAGCTGTGAAGGGTCTGAGATTCTGCCCTATTCATAACTAACCAGTTAGTCGGCCCCAGTTTTAGGGACGCTGGCAGAAAACACTGGACTCTGTAGAGTCAGAGACCAAAGTCTTTATTACTCACACAACGAGCAGCAGGAGCGTCCTGCCCCCAGGTCCCCTGGGAGCAGCGCAGAGGTGGCCCCAAGAGGATGCTGTGTGTCACAGCTGAGGACCCCTGCGCACAGGAAACCCCTAGTCTTCACAGTGGGCTGCCAGCAACCTGCCACTTCTGCAGGGAGACATTGCCTCTATTATTGTGTTTGGCAAGTAAATCCGCCCTGTGGCAGGCACAAACCCGTGGAGGATTGTCTGCCAGCACCCTCGCCCTGCCCCCTTGCCCACCGCCCCTTGCCACACCGTCCCAGGAAAATGCCGGGCTCCATCCTCCTCAGCGCTTGGCTGGCTTTTCCTTTCATTTGGAATGTGTTTCCTGCAGATAACGCCTGCCTTTCTCCCTTCCTCCTGATGGCTTCTACTTGGGTATCACCTCCTTAGGGAGACCTTTTAAAACCACACCCCACCCCCAGTTCTGGAACCTCCCATTCCCCTTCTGAGCCTTAGTCCCGCAGCACTGGTCAGCATCTAATGCCCAACTTAATTATGGCGTCTTTGTTTTTCCCTCCACCCTCACTACATACTCACGAGAGGGGAACCTGCCTTAAGTTATTGCCACAGCCCCAGGACCCGGAACAGTGTCTAACACCAGAAGGGGCTCAGTAAGTATTCATTGTGTGAATGAATGATTCCATCCCTTTATTTGATCTTCAGCTGAAGACCTGGTTCTCTTACCTTGAGTCTGTAGGGCAGATAAGGCTCGGTAACTATTGAACAAATCAAACAAGGCATGAACGGCCCAGGGAGTCGGGGGAGGGGGCGTCAGTGTGGGGACTGGGGAGCTTCTCCCAGGTTGTGGGGGTTCGCCCCTTGGCCGATTTCTGTGTTGCCTGTACCTGCGACTGGGAATCCTCCTGACTGGTGGCAGAAGCTGGTGTGTTTCTGTCCCGTGATGTCGTGTTCTTGCTGTGACCAGGGGAACTGGGAGAGGGCAGGGGCTTGTGAGCTGAGCTCTGATGTGCCATTTGCTTAATCAGTGGCACAGAAGCCACTGTCAGTCATCCACGATGGAACTGAGACAGATCCCCCGCACAGGTGGCAGAGGTGCCCGCCATGTGACGTGTGGCGCTGTGTGGCAGAACACAGTGTCCTTCCCACTGTGTCTGGGTCCTCCTTCCCATGGTACTGCTGTCTCTACCAGTATTCTGAGCATCCACATCTCTGTTTCCTGTGCCATTTGCTGTAGCAACCATGCCAAACAGACTTATTTCTGCTCCCTCATTTGAGAGTGGCTTGGGGACAGGGACCCCATATTGTCTTCACACAAGCACCTGACAATCACAACACAGAGCGTTAGATGCTGTGCAGAAGCAGAGAGGTGGACCTTAAATGTTTGTCCAATGACTCACATGGCCCCACGGGGCAACCCCAGGGCCTGTAATTAACTCTCCTCTCTGAGAACTGAGACTTGAGCCACAGTGGACAGTCCCTGACTTATGATAGTTCGACTTAAAATTTTCTGACTTTACAATAGTGGAAAAGCAATGTGCATTCAGTAGAAACGTATTTCAAATTTTGAATTTGGATCTTTTCCCGGGCTCAAGATACAGGGTACTGTCCTCTCTCAGTGCTGGGCAGAGCAGCACTCGTTCAGCCACGCAATCATGAGGGTCAACAACTAATACACTTACAGCTGTTCTGCACCCAACTGTTCTGTTTTTCACTTTCAGGACAGTATTCAATCCATTATGTGAGATCGTCAACACTTTACATCAAATAGGCTTTGTGTGAGATGATTTTGCCCACTTGTAGGCTCATGGAAGTGTTCTGAGCACGTTCAAGGTGGGCGAGGCTAAGCTGTGATGTTCCATAGGGTAGGTGTGGTCAGTGCATTTCTGACTTAGGATATTTTCAACGTATGATGGGTTTATCGGGGTGGGACGCCATCGTAAGATGAGGAAGATCTGTATCTCTCGTGGGTTGCCAGCTTGTCTGCCTCCAAGAGCCCAGCAGGGAGCGTGAAGGATGCCACAGACTAGCTGACAGTGGTGGACCCAGCAGGAGTGGGGTGCATGGCCCTTCCGGGGGGCAGCTGCAGTCCAAGGCCCACTGACAGTTTCCGTGGGGAACTGTGGATCTGGCATTTCCAGATATTCTAGCTACTCGTTTTAAGTAAAAGCTGAGAATCTTGATTTTCATGTGAAATCTGACTTTTAAATGTGGGCTGTGGATTCCAACTTTCTATAACCGTGGCTTCTTCTGGGAAAGTAGGAGCCTTGCTTCTCACTGTGTGGCCTGTGCACCTTCCAGACGTTTGCCCCGGGCACAGTGCTTAACATGCGCGGAGGAGTCTAGCAGCACACCAGGTGGAGTATGTCTCTGGGCGCCCTGTGTGAATGTTACCGAACCAGGTTCGTTTGCCCGACGCCCAGCAAGCCAAGGCTTGCAGCAAAGAAAGGATTTATTCACAGGGCAGCCAAGGGAGGAGACAGGAGGACAAAGTCTCAGCTCTGCGTCCCTGAAGGCGAGGGCCTCGGGGTATTTATGAGACAAAGATGGGGCATGAGGAGCGTGGGGAAAGGTGAGTGGAAAGAAAAAGGTGAGGTAATCCTCATTCTGCACAG